GGCCATTTTTTGGTTGCAGCCATCATTGTTGTTTGGCGGGTCCGGGCTGGGGATTCGAACCCACCATCTTAGGTATATGTGGCTGGCACCTTAGCCGCTTGAGCCACAGGCGCCGAGCCAGGAATAATTTTCATTAACAAAGTTTTAGGAGGATAGAAAAAATAATTATGTGCTAAGAAACCAGGAAAAACTACCATAAAAAATAAATGAAATCTTGATCTTGCCTCTGAAAGGGAAGAAAAAGAGGTGACAAGGCTAGACAAAAGACACAAATTTTGCTTGAAATGAGACAATGACAAAATCGGTTCATTTACAGCAAAGCAGAAAATGGAGATTCTTAGAAAATGAAGCTAGAGGCTGAGTGGAAGTCAAACTATGATGGATCTTAAAAGCCAAGAACAGCACCATTACCTTAATTTGCTCCTCACTGATACTAGGAGTGTTTTTCAGGAGATTCAGAAAAACTCCACCTGGTGTTCTTCTTCGGCTACCATTCTAAAAAAAGGAATAGAAAAATTAATCTGCATATACTCTTCCCATGAACAGTCAAGGTACAGAGGCACACCCAGGAGACAAAACAAACAGCAGAAGTGAAGTTCGGTCCCAACTCTGGTGAAACAGGTAATATGTTCTACAAATGGTGACTGTAAGAAACACTGTGATTAAAAGAATAATTATGACATCATATTTGGGGATGTGAAATTACCTACAATAAAGTTTTATTTGCTTTCAGTTTTTTCCCTCTAACATCAACCCATGTTCAGGCAGAACAGAAAATCTTTAAAAAAACTGAAGTGGCCAGGTACGGTGGCTCACATCTATAATCCTAGCACTTTGGGAGGCCACAGCAGGAGAACAGCCTGTGCCGGGGAATTCAAAACCAGCCTGAGCAAAAGGGAGACCCTGTCTCTAAAAATGGCCGGGCATTGTGGCGAGTGTCTGCAGTCCCAGCTACTTGGGATGCTGAAGATTGAGAATTGCTTAAGCCTGAGACTGAGGTTGCTGTGAGCTGTGATGCCACAGCACTC